TGGTTTGGGGCTTATTAGAATAATTTGATGAATCATTTGCCCTTCACATTTTAACCGGGTAGGCAGTTTCTTAATATATACTTGATGTATACAGAACATATGAGCGAACATTGTAGTTTTGCCTTATCTATTAATTTGTATGACCTTTCCAGTGCGTACTTGAAGATCATCCTACCTCCACCTGTCCCGAGCCACCTCATTCGGGCTCTTACCCTTGCCCTTGGCATTTCCAATACCCGCGCCCCCTCAACTCTGTCTTTTACATCCCACTCTCTGGCTACCACGTGTCACCCTTGCAGCTCACTCCCATGCACTCCCATTTCAATAATGCTTTGACCCCACCCCTGCCTTTGCACTGCCTCACTTGCCCTTCAGGTCCTCATTTCCCTGTTTACCCAGCTTGGACTCCATGATCCATCCTCATAATCCCTCCTCTCCACCCTCTCCCTGTTGCACTCACCTCACAAACCTCCTCCTGGTTAGAGGCGACTCTGCAGCTAACTGCACCCACGCCCCGAATGTGGCCGGAGAAAGCCACAGAATCTCAGAAGAGACCTTCATGCCACTGACACACATACTTCACAGCCTGGTCCACTCCCTCCCACTCTCGCTTCCCTTCCTCTGTCCTCCCATCCCCAACCCTTCCTCCCCGTCCTCTCAGTTAATGCTCCTACTTCCCATTTCGTCGGGAAAATAGAAGCAAGCAGAAGAGAAGTGTTATACCCTCCCACCATGTCTGCCCATCCCCAGCACTGCACCCACGAGCTCTGCCATCCCTCCTGGCACAGCACCATCCATCCTTGCACTGTGTCCTGGGCCTCGTCTCCTTGCGCAGTGCACCTGTATTGCGCCCCCATCTCTGCAGGTCATCCCTTCTGTCCTTCTTTCTTTTACTTTTTTATTTTTATTTTATTTTCGAGACAGAGTCTTGCTCTGTCACCAGACTGGAGTGCAATGGTGCTATCCTAGCTCGCTGCAGCTTCGAACACCTGGGTTCAAGGGATCCTCCTGCCTCAGCCTCCCAAGTAAGCTAGGACCACAGACACATACCACCACACTTGGCTAATTAGTTTTTATTTTTTGTAGATATAGGGTCTTGCTATGTTGCCCAGGCTGGTTTTGAACTCCTGGGTTCAAAGGATCCTCCTGTCTCAGCTTCCCAAAGCTAAAGCCTGAGCCACTGCCCCCAGTCCTTCCCTTCTTCCCTCTCTACTAGAACATTCCCACTAGTAGCATACAGGCCTTAATATCTCCCTCCAACACAAAGCAGCCAGCACTAGCCAGCTAATGGAGGACACCCCAGTAGCACAGTGCAGGGAGACACAGGGAGGTTAGGAGAAAGAGGCAACAAAGGACATGGTGGGCGCTCAGGCAGCAGGACCAGCACGCATGTGCCAAGGTCCTGAGGTAGGAGGGAGCGTGGCAGGAAAGAAGGCAGAGATGAGCAGGGAGGGAGGAGGCAGGTGGGAGGTGAGGCCAGAGGTGGAGGTTGAGGGTCAGGCTTTGTTAGAGATGTTGAGCTTTTCCCCGAGAGCACTGGGAAGCTGGAGTGTTTCCGAGCTGGAGGTGGCATGATCAGATTTGCATGTACAAAGGATCACTGTCATAGCTCTGTAGAGAAGGATAAGAGTGGGTGCAAACTGATGAGTGGGGAGGCCACGGCAGCCATCCAGGGAGCAGGGATGGTGGCCTGGTGGTGGGCGGTGCTGTCTCAGAGGCATCAGGCAAGTTTGAGACACTAAGAATCTAACACAGACAGGACACCCTGATGGATGGAGCCTGCAGGGAGGAGGAAGAGATAGATGTCGGCGCTGACAACTAGGCTCAGGCTTACACCAGGAAGTCCTGGAGAAGCATTTGCCGAGCTAACTGGGGCCTCCAGAGCACCAGGCAGGAGGGAAAGATCAAGAGTTCACGTTCAGTGCCTTTAAAACATCCACCAAGAGACATCAAATAGGCAGTTGGATACCCAGGTCTAGGCCTCGAGGAGAGGTCTGGGCCACTGATTATCTCACACGGCCTCTCTGTTAGCATCTCCTGAACCCTCCTTCTATGCCAGGCACTGTGCTAGGAGCCGATGGTCCAAGGATGAGTGAGGCCCAGGCTTGCACCGGAGGAGCCACCAGGCTCCCCGTAGAATGTGAGCTCCTGTTCCTGTGGGGTCTTACCCTTGCCCTTGGCATTTCCAATACCCGCACCCCCTCCACTCTGTCTTTTACATTCCACTCTCTGGCTACCACGTGCCACCCTTGCAGCTCACTCCCATGCACCCCCATTTCAATAATGCTTTGACCCCACCCCAACCCTAGGCTCAAAAGCATTGACTGCCCTCCCCTGCACCACCCCGCACCCCTGCCTTTGCACTGCCTCACTTGCCCTTCAGGTCCTCATTTCCCTGTTTACCCAGCTTGGACTCCATGATCCATCCTCATAATCCCTCCCTTTCCACCCTCCTGTTCCTGTGGGGAACAGGAGTGGGTGTGGCCCACCAGGATGCAGCTGGGGCCCTTCTGGGTTAAGCTCTGTCCTCAATTTGTGGGACGCCTCGGGGCATGTCAGTACTGCTCTCTGAGCCTCACTCCTGCACGGATTCTTTATAAAGATGCCTGGCACCGGCTTGCTGAAATATTTGTCAGATTGAATTGAAAGGATATGAAAGTGCTTCGCAAAGTGCTTTTCAAATACACTGATTCATAATTGTAACAATAGGGAGAATTTGTTATCCTCTTAGCAGCTGGTATGAAGACTTTTGCCACAGAGAAGGGTGTGTGGTTGGATTAGGGAAACAAGGCACTACGGAGGGGACAAGGCTTCCTTTTAACACCCCAAGATGCAGGAGGGCAGAGAAGCCATGACAGGAGAGGGGTGGGAACAGCAAAAAGCACGGAACCCAAAACACTCAGAGAAGACACCTGCCCATGGGACCATTTTGAGTGGCCCTACCAAGCTTCAGTGAAGCGACCGGAAGTCCCGATATGCTCTGGGGAATTGTTTCTCTTGTAGAAAAAGTTGGTGAATTTGGTACAGGGAGAGCTCATGTGTGAAAGGAAGTTACAGAGGTTCCTCTTTTCCATTATATGCAGCATAGCCAGAAGTTCCTAAAATGCTTATATTTCTATGTAGTAATAAGTATCCCTGTATACTATATACCTGCGTACTATTAGGTTGGTGCAAAGTAATTACGGTTTCACTATTACCTGGATGGCAAAAACCACAATTGCTTTTGCACCAAACTAATATATAATTCTATATTTTGTACATACATATAGGTCTAGGCTGGGCACAGTGGCTCATGCCTGTAATCCCAGCACTTTTGGTGGCCACGGTAGCTGCCATCTCTTGAGGTCAGGAGTGGGGGACCAGCCTGGCCAATATGGTGAAATCCCGTCTCTACTAAAATACAAAAATTAGCCAGTTATGATGGTGTGTGCCTGTAACCCCGGCTACTTGGGAGGCTGAGGCAGGAGAATCGCTTGAACTCGGGAGGCGGAGGTTGCAGTGAGCCGAGATCGTGCCATTGCACTTAAGCCTAGGTGACAGAGTGAGACTCCATTTCAGAAAAAAAAAAAAAAGGTATATGTAATACCGTAAAATTCCTGAGTAATATCTATAGTACATACTGGAATCTGCCTCTACTTTATAAGACATAGTCTCAGGACTGTAGAAGGAAATCATTGCCAACATGTATTGAGGGCTCTATTAATTAGGTCACACTAGCTACTAAGTCAGTGGCTGGACATAGTCAAATTTCATTTCTCTCTCACGTCAATGCCCCCAAGGACTTCCTAAATGTGTCAGGCACTGTTCTGACTACTCAACATGCATCAGCTCAGTGAACCTCCACGACAATCTGCCAGGGAAGAATTCTTGTTATTGCCACTCTCAGGTGAGGACATTGAGTGACACACAGCTGGACCCAGGCAGTCTAGCTGTGCAACCTGCGTCTTACCCACTGTGCATACACCCCACCCAATTCTTCTTCCATTCAGAGAAGGTTAAAGGACGTTCGCTGTGCCTATGCTGGTGCTGGGGATAAGATGGTGAATGAAACAGTCTCTGCTGTCAGGAAGCCGATGCTCTGGTGATTGTACGGTCTATGCTACTTATCAGTTTTTGGAAAGGCTGCATTCAAGAGTTCACTCACTCATCAGTGAACATAGGGGAGGACCTGCCTGTGACACTGTGCTGGGATTTGCCCCCGGGCCGGTTCTCACCTTCCCAGCAGGCACCAAGGAAATGTTTAGAGTCAAAAGACCCTAGTTGGAGCCCTGATTCCATCATATCCTAGCCACAAGTATTTACTCAGATAGTTTAGCCTCCCTGAGCCTCAGTGTCCTCATCTGTACAATGGGGATGATAAGACCCCTCTCACAGGCCTGTGGTGGAACCAAATTGAGTTGTAGTTCAAGAACTTGGCCAAGGGTACAGCCCCCAGGGGGCTCAATCTCCTCCCCACCCCCATATTTATTTCAGAGCGGTTGGCGGCTGGGTTTGGTGAATTTCGTGCAATTGCAGATGGGAAAGTGTTTTGCAGGCTCTTCTAAAGGGCTGTGGCAGCATCTGGCAGCACCAGTGTGGGGTGTGTCCCCTTTAGAAAGTGATCTGCTGCTTTCTCACATGTAAAATGCAGGGTGACTCCCAGCCAAGCTGGGGCACAGAGACGGGCTGAGGAGTGTTCGTCAGCCTCCTCCGTGGCAGTCCCCAGCCCGGAATCAAGCCTCCACCACTGCCAAGCCTCCGCTAATCCTCAGAAGCTTCGGTGCAGGGACAGAAGGCAGCGTTTTGAAGTCCTCGGCTTTAGATCCTCTCCGCAGTACTGCGGGTGTGTATTGTGATTCACCAGGCAGATGTCCAAACAGACAAAATGAAACCTTCCTTCAGGGGTGAGGGAGACGGCTGAGTGAGTTTCCAAAGAGCCAGAAGTCTAGAAGAGGCAGGTGGGCCCTAAGCGCCCCCAAAACTATGATGTTTCATGCGCTCCTTCTCCCCTTGTTTTGCAGGGAATTTCAAAGGTCTGTGCAAGCAAATCGATCACTTCCCAGAGGATGCAGATTACGAAGCTGACACAGCAGAATATTTCCTCCGTGAGTGCACACAATTGTTTTTATCTCCCTCCTGGTGGTGGGCCCTGCCCTTCCATCCTTCACAGAGTCAAGGACCAGGCCTATCTAGAGGCCCTCATCACAGCAGAGGGCAGGCAAAAGCTGAATCTCTCTCCTTTCCGGAGTGCAGACCTTCATACATGCTGTTCCCTCTGCCTGCAATGCCCTTCCCTCCCCATCTTTGTCTGGCAAACTCCTACTCAGTCGACCTCAGCTAAAACATCACCTTCTCCAGGAAGTCCTTCCTGCCTTCTGCATGAGTTCCCAGAGGACAGTACTTTATCATTGCTGTGGGGTCCTTGACTATTTGAGTAACCATCTCCCAACTCTGCTAGCGTATGGACTCACCCTAGCATTCACCATTATATTCTCGGCCCAGTGCTTGGCATGTAATAAGTGCTCAGTGAATATTTCTTGAATAATTGGATGAAGTAACCCACCAGGCAGTGCCAGATTGGAACTTCTAATGAAAAAAAAAAAAAAAAAAAAAAAAGATTTTTTTTCTTCCCCCGCAAGTCAAGTAAGTCAAAGTTAAATCCTGATGTAACAGCTGCAATCTTAAATCCACCTGAGACATATTATCAAGAGAAAGCAGTCTGAGGCCCCAAGGAAATGTCTCAAGTATCAGCAAAAACTAACAAGGCTACCTATTCCCTGAGAAAGGGATTTCCAAGAGAGGGGCTGAGAGTCCTTGATGCCTGGGACAGCAAAGCCAAAGGTTCTCAGGCCATCTCTTTGGAAGGAGGTTTGCTCTCCTCCCAGGAGCATCCCCACCTCTGCTCCAGACCCTTCCACCTCCCCTCCCCAACGGCACAAGGGTTGCCATTACCCTCAGATCACTTTTATGAAGCATGTAGGAGGCATTTTATTATATAGATTGCCCCTGTCTCTTTCAATAATTACTTCTCACATCAAGCCCAGCTCTCAGGTCAGCCTGGAATCTGGTTTCATTGAAAAGCCCGTGGAATGTGAAGTCAGTCAGGCAGCTGGGAAGAGAGAGGGAGGCAACACGATGCAATTTTTAGATTCTTTTTTTTTAAGGAAAAAATATCATACCCTGCTCGTCATTTCCTTTTATGAATTCCCTCAAGACGTTGCTCTTAACTGGAATTCCTAACAGGCCATTTGGTTGTGGTTACCTGTTACCTACGACTGTGTCTGGGGTGGGGCTGCAGGAACCCGGCTGTGCAGTAAATGTGGGTTGAGCTTCTGTGTGCTGGATCCTGTGCTCAGTGCTGGGGAGGCCAAGATGGATGAGGGAGACGCAGTCCCTGGCCCCAAGAAGAGCACAGCCTGGCGGGGAGGGTCCTTGGAAAAACAGCTCAACTTGGGAGACACTGCATGATAGAGGTGAGGCCTGAATGTAGAAGGCAGAAGCCAGCAAGCAAAGCCAAGCCTCACACTGGGAGCCATACTCCCGGAGCACAGGGCTCACCAGGTGGAGTCTGAATTATGTCATGCTTTATCTGCTAGGCAGTAAGCGCCTGGGGGCAGGAAACTTGTCTCATTCATTGCTGCCCTTATAACGGCTCAATGAATGCTTTTTGTTAAGAAGAGATAGAGGATTCTTCAGTGGCAATTCCTAACAATTCAACACCTCCATTTCCTTGTTTTTAAGAAAGAAGAGCATAGAGCATAGAGTATTTGGTTCATTTTGGTGTCCCTGGACAAAAGACTTGGACTCAGATTGGCAACACAGGATTCTGAAGGTCTGATTTGAGTTGACCTAATCCAACAATATTTTTTGAACATCTGTAACAGGGGTCAGCAAACTTTTTCTGTAAAGGATCAGATGTTGAATATTTTAGGCTTTTGGGGCCATACAGTCTCTGTCCCATTTACCCAACTCTGCTCTTGTGGCCACTGACAATAAGGAGGCATATGTGTGGCTGTGTTACAGTGAAGCTTAACTTGATTTACACAACCAGGCAGCAGTCTTCATTTGGTATAGTTTGCTGACCCCTGGTCTATAAAATGCTAGTCCTGGGCTGGACAACAAAAATCATTTTTTAAAGCTGGAAGACATGAGTTTCTATCATTCTCTACGAAGTTCTAACCTAGATCTTGAGAGAAGCTGGGAGACAGGGATGATTTTTCTAGAAGGATTCCCCCTGCCCCCACTCCCTACCCCTGCTTCTGATTCAGAAGCTCCTCTGGGGCCTCCCTGGCACGCTGCATATGTCTACAATTCAACCCTGACCACACTTTGCTGCAATTTTGCTGGTTCACACTTGGGATCCCCAAGAGGCTATGAGCTTCTTGAAGGCAGAGCTATATCCCATTCATTTCTGCACCCCAAGCACCCAGAAAAGGCCATGGCAGGGAATTTGACCCAAAAAAGCACTTTGATGACTCAGCAATGAAGTGACAGGGCAGGTGAATATGAGAACACTCAAGTAAATCATAGTCTAATGCCCCGAGATCAATGCAAGCAACAGGCTTCCAGAAGAAAACAGCTGGGTCCCCATTCGCCAGAGGTAGGCAGGTGGCTTCCAGAGGTGTGCAGAGCTTAGGCCCAAGGAAGCGGGCTGAGCTGCACCTGGGGTGGGCAGGGCCTGAGTCCACTCCTAGTTAAGGTCTGTCAAACCCATCTGCACAGCTCATCTGCCGCAGGGGAGGCTGTGAGGGGGCAGAAGCAGCCCCTCTCCCTGAGGGCTAGCCATCTGGAGGGAGACCTACGGACCTAATGTTTATGCTGCATGCTGGAATAGAAGGAAGCGTGTGGTGCTGAGGGAACCCGTTCCCTAACCCAGACCAGAGGAGGTCCTTCCAGAAGGGTTCCCTACAGAAGATGGCACCAGAGCCCATTCATTCATTCATTCACTTGAGAGATATTTACTAAGCACTCACTGAGTGCCAACACTATTGTCAGTCCTGGGGATCCAAGAGTAAATCAAACAAAGAGGGCCAGTGCCTTCATGAAGGGTATATCCTAGTGTAAGAAACAAGTAATAAACAAGTGTGAAACACCCTCTCCCTGCCCTCTGCACCCTGAGATAGTTTTGTTGTTGTGTTGTTGAGATGGAGTCTCTTGCTCTTTCATCCAGGTAGGAGTGCAAGTGACACCAAACCTCTGCTTTCCGGGTTCAAGTGATTCTCCTGCCTCAGCCTCCCGAGTAGCTGGGATTACATGCGTGTGCCACTATGCCTGGCTAATTTTTTGTATTTTTAGTAAAGATGGGGTTTCACCAAGTAAGCCAGGCTGGTCTTAAACTCCTGACCTCAGGTGATCCGCCTGCCTCGGCCTCCCAAAGTGTTGGGATTACAGGCGTGAGCCACCATGCCCAGCCCCAGCTGAGATAGTTTCTGAGTGGTCTGGGAGGAGTTGGAGAGTGGAGAGTGATGGGGGAGGGACCAGTGGGTCCTGGGGGCATGTCACTTAGATAAGGTGGTCCCACAGTTTCTCTGAGTGAAGAAAGGGAACTAGGTAAGATTTCTAGGGAAAAGAGTAGCTGACAGAGAGAAGAGCAAGAGCAGGGTCCTTAAAGCAGACACAAAGCATCATGTTTGAGGATCAGCGGTGTGGCTGGTCCTGCAGGAGCCCAGTGCAGGGGTAGAGTGGGGTCCTACAGCACAGGAACCCAGTCATGTGGGCCTGGGACCAAGGGGAGACCTCAGTTCTCATTCTAAGTGTGATGGGAATGACCGATTTAGACACGTCAGCCTGGCTGCTGTGGTAGTGATGGTTGGAAACGGAGGCAGGGAGCCCAGGTGGCGGGGTTGGGGGGTGGGGGGAAACCAGAGTGTAACCATGGTGATGGTGAGAAGGAAGGAGATGTTTGGGAGACAGAGCTGACAGCAGCAGAGGTGGCCACTGATGGAGCATGGGCCATGAGGCAGGGGACAGATTTCAGGATAGGGACAGAAGTGAAAGGAGAGGGAAGAAGCAGTCAAGCAACTCTTCTTTCTCCCCAAAGAGCAGATTTCAACCCATGTAGAGCATCTCCTAAGGGACCTGGGGCTTGTTTTCGATGTTCCCAAACAGCTCAATTAATTCTTTTTTTGTTTTGTTTTGTTTTGTTTTAAGATGGAGTCTTGCTCTGTCACCCAGGCTGGAGTGCAGTGGCGCAATCTTGGCTCACTGAAACCTCTGGCTCCTGGGTTCAAGCGATTCTCCTGCTTCAGCCTCCTGAGTAGCTAGGATTACAGGCGCCTGCCACCACATCTGGCTAATTTTTGTATTTTTAGTAGAGACGGGATTTCGCCATGTTGGCCAGGTTGGTCTCGAACTCCTGACCTCAGGTGATCCACCCACCTCAGCCTCCCGAAGTGCTGAGATTACAGGCGCCAACAAGAGCGAAACTCCACTTCAAAAAATAAAAATAAAAAGAAGAACAAACAGTAAGTGCAAAGGTCCTGGCTTGGGAGCAGGCCTGGAATATCTGAGGAACAGGACTGAGCCTCGTAAGAGAAGAACGGAGTGAGCAAGGAAGGGCAAAGGAAGAGCAGGTGTGGAGAGTCCCAAGGACCCTGTGGGTTGCAGCGAGAATTTGGGGGTTTGCTCTGGTTGACCGACACCATCTCACTTTTGAACAGGCTCTGGCTGCTGTGTTCATAAGGGACTGAAATGGGATGAGGGCAGAAGCTGACAGAAGAGTTAGAACTCTGTTGCTATAATTTAGGCAGGAGGTGATGGCAGCTTGAACCAGAGTGGTAGCAGTGAAAGGGGTGAAAAAGGATCAGTGTTGAAAATATTTCCAGGGCACCACACACAGGATTTTCTGAAAGGCTGAATGTGGATTTCGAGAGAAAGGAAGGAGGCAAGGATGGTGCCAAGACTCGTGCCCATGGGGGAGCAACAGGTTGAGACTGGGGCTCAGTATCAGCCATACTCAGTTAGAGATGCCTGTGGGACTTCCTGGGGCAATGTCATGGGCTCGGTATGAACCTGAGTCCAGTGTTCACAGGAGAGGTCCCGGCCAGAGATAGTGAGTTTTCGCGTTGTTGGCATGTAGGTGATATTTAAAGCCATGAGACTCAGT